TTCACTTTGCATTTGCATCATGGTCAGGCAGCTGTCTGTCTTTCTGCCTTAGAGGGAGAAGGTAGAGCCAGCTGAAGACTTGTAAACACATACTTAAGCCGTTGCACAGTTCCTCCCTGATAGCTGACCTCCTGGGCTCAGTAACCCCAGAAATATTTGATCTTAGTTCTGCAAGTTCCCAGGGCCTTTGGTTGATGGAGGCCAGTACTGAAGCCATCCTTGCCAAAATCCCATCACAAAAGAAAGGTCTCAAGGCCTCCATGGGAACTGACTGCGTGTTCAGTCAAATAGGTCTTCGGGAAGAGGGCTCACACCCCTTCCTATGCCTAAATCAGTTCTGGGCTACGGGAGAGCTGCCAAATTGGTTTCTCCATGCCTAGCATGGTGCCTGGCACATGGGTATCTCTCAGCCACTGAAGGGAGATCACTTTACTCCTAATAATGGACCGACCCATTGTCACGTCCAAGCAGAGGGAAGGGATTAAGAGCAAAATGATTCACCCCCAGCAGATTCAGTTTCCCAAGATGACAATGTGGATGTGCTCTGGGTTTTGGAAGTAGATGGAGCTGCTTTTCTAAATGCTTTAGGTCTGGAAAACTTCAAAGGTACTTGGCTAAGCAAGGCCCCTGCTAATTTTTAAACCCTGGTCTATTTTAAGAGAAACACAAGCTGCCCATTTCTGATTCACTTACACTCGATTTATCAAAACGGTGTTTTGTAAGAGGTGTTCGCTGTCCAAAAACCCAAGTGACCCCTGCTAGAACTGTTGCATCCTGAGGCAGAGTGTTGGTTCTGCTTCTCAGTCCTCAGTCCCAACCCTGATTTAAGCTGAAGTTTTCAGGTTCCTGAGGGCCTCGGAGGTCCTAAACAGGGCCGCTGTCTTTCTCTGATTCTGAAAACTAGACAGAGACTTTAAATGAAGAAGTGGTGGTTGGTTGTTCTCAGATCCTCAACCAAGGCTTAGAGGTTTGGCTAACCGTCTCAAACCCCCTTCCCAGAGGAGAGTAAACAGAGCCTTATAAAAACACACCATTTGTGCTCCATTGGGCAACATGATAAATGAATGTGTTTTTCTGTGGTCATCTCTGGTCTGCTGGAGAACGGTCTGCATTCATTCTTACGATGCCCAAAATGACAAACCATCAGTTAAAAGTATATTTTAAAATTGAGGGCCCATGGCACACAGTGAAAGGTACAAATTTTAGGCATGCAAACTGGAGAATCTTGTCAAATGTATACAGCTACATAACTAATAAACACATCAAGATGCAGGATTTTTTAATCACCTGGGAAGTTCACTTGTGTTCTTCCCAGTTGGTTCCAACAGTCCACAAGCCGTTGTGGTCCTGGTCTCTGTCGCTGTGGTGTGCAGCCTTTGATATGGTCTTCACGATCTCCTCCTTTATATTCAGGTCCTGTTGGGGTGCCCTCCACTGACCTGTGGCTGTCCAGGGACTTTACCTCTTCTGAGACGTAAGTTGCAAACATACTAGGCATTAGCTTTCCCATTCCAGGAACAAGATACTCAACTTTAACATTTAAAATAAGAGAAGTTTCATTTGGGCTCCTGGTTTCAGTGGGCTCCATCCAGGGTGGGCCGTCTCCATGCCGACACTGCATAGTAGAGTGGCGTAGTGGAGGGACCTGCTCGATGAGAGGCAGCCACAGAGGGGAACAGGGATAAGACCACAGCTTTCCATGCCTCCTCCAACCAGGCCCCACATCTTAACCACTCACTTAGCTGCTGAACTCATCCACGGAAGAGATCTGCCATGATCAGTCACCTTCCACACACGAGACCTGGAGGAGACATCTGAGATCTGAACCATGGTGTACTATCACGTCTGCCTGTTCATCGCCTCCTGTGCTCTGTCCTGCAGCCCCCGCTCTGCAATGGCTCAGGCCCAGAAGCAGCTCATACAGCAGAGAACTGACACCTCCCTCCACCGAGCACTCGAGCCAGCCCACCGCCACGCGAGGGAGCTTGAGACCAGCCAGGCTCTAAGGTGACTGTCACCAAGGCAGCATCCTGAAGCAGCCTTGTAGGAATCTCTGAACCAGAGACATCCGGCTGGGCTGTGCCTTTGGCTCCCAGAAATCGTGAGATAATACATGTTTGCTATTTTAAGCTAAATTTTGGCATCCTTTGCTAATGCAATCACGCCAGATTAATTTTAACCTTGAACTAAGCTGTGAATCCAATGAAATCATTCCGTATGTGTTCTTGTGTACCTGGCTTCATTTTTTAAATAGAAAATCTGCAAGACACATTCATTTGGCTGTATGGATCAGTACCGTTCATGGCCCGGATATGAGAATTTATTCGTCCATTCTTTTGATAAACACTTGGGTTGTTTCCAGCTTTATGCCTGCTTAAATAAAATTTAACAAAAATGCTGTGAGCATCTTACACAAGTCTTTCTGTGGACATACGTTTTAATCTTTTTTCTTGGTGAATACCTAGAAATATAATGCTAGGTTATTATTAGTTAATCTTATGAGAAATTTCAAAATGTGTTTCAAAGTGGCCATGCATTTTAAACCTTTTATATTTATTTGAGTGACACACGGATTGATCCCAGGGCCTTGGCACTGAACAACACCCCCTGCCTTTCCTTACTTTTTATTTCGAGGTGGAGTCCCACTTGCCCAGCTTGGGTTCAGACTCGCGATCCTCCTGTCTCAGCCTCTCGGACTTCGGGGACCACAGTCACGTGACACTATCCTGGCTTCATTTTGAACTTATTTTGTGAACTGTCTCTCTTCAAGGGTTCCTTCTGCTTCTTTGCCAAGCTTCTCTAGATGAAATCTTAGGTCACAGATGTACATACATACCCTCTCTCTCAATAACATTTTAAAGTTATAAATCCTTCCCTTAGCACTGGTTCACTGCATTCCACAAATTTTGACATATGTTCAGACATCATTCAGTTTAAAATATTTACTAAATTCTAAATTTGGTTTCTTTCAAAAAGCAAAAAAACAAAAAAAAATTTGCTCTGTTGGTTTTATCATGTTGTATCTTACTGGATTTTATTATATGTGATAGTATAAACAAAAATTTTTATAGGCAAAGAGATAATTTAGAAACCATTGTTTGTTTTCTGTTAGCTGGTTCTAAATACCCTGTAACACTTTCATCCTTTTGAATGGTTTCACACTGCCTTGATATGTTTGAAGCCACAGTATATGAAGTTATACTCAAATATTTCAAGGAAAGAGTTACTATGGTAACTACTATTAAGTCGGGTTATCTTGTGGTGAAGCACTAGGTTGCTTAAATTGTTATGCTATGACCTGTATTGTTACGTTGTTATGTCCTCTTTTATCTCAATCTCCCCCCTTTTTTAAAAAAAATTATTTGTTTATTATTATTATTTCTTTAATTAAGGGAAAAAACAAAAAAATTAGCAGGATATATTACAGTAACTTTTTTGATTTCCTATTAACTTGATTGAAGCCCTGTAGTGCTCCCACCATCTTGTTTTGACTGTTCTGTTCTGTTTGATAGTATCAAGTTTGAGGGTATAGGCAACTACTTTGAAGGCAATAAGATTCACTATGATGACCATTCTGGTTTGACTATTATCTTCTTTTGAAGTCCTGTAATGTCTCCAATGTTTAGGTTTTATTGGTCTTGTTCTGCACTGTTTTGTTCAATTTTATTATACCTAATGATATAGGCAATTCTTTTTAAGATAGCAAGAGGCATTATGGTAAACATTGTTGATTACCTTGTATTCTGTTTTTACATCATGTGCTATGTCCATCCTTTGTTTTGACTGACTGCTTTGGTTTGTCATATTTGGTTTTATTCTCTTCCAAAAAAAAGTAATAAGAGCTATGGGAGTAATAAAACCCATAATGTGTAAATGTTGTTGTAAAAAAGAGAGGGAAAAAAAAGTGCTCTAAAGGATACAACTGCAAGTGTGTTTAGGTGTGTTAAGATAGATGACCATATTACTGAGTTTTTGTTGGATCACTGAACACAACTGTTTGCAGTCTCACTGTTTGAATGTCCACTTTGTATGCTTTAATCCTGTAACTTGAACAACTATTTCTAAGATGGCAATATGTAATCTATTAACTAGTGATTTCTTACTGTTATTTTTGAAATTCTATATTACTTGTACCCTTATACTGTTTTGTTTTTTCCTTTAAATAAAAAAATTTGCTTTCTTCCCCAGCAATAGATTATTTTGAAATACAGTACTTACTTTTTAAAAATATTCAAGATGTTTCTACTTATAGTTATTAATGTCTAATTTCACTATAGTTAGGGACTATAGTGAACTATAATTTGTTATATTTTAATATTTTAAAATCTATGGAAGCATTACGATCTGTCTTAAATCTGTCTTGGATATTCTAAGTTCACTTTAAAATAATGTCTATTCTAGTGGGAAGAAACTGGTCAAAACAAAAGAGAAATTAGGGTGGAGGAAAGGGGAAAGGAAGGAAAAATATATACACACAAAGATAGTTAAAATGGTCACACAGCTCGCTTCCTTTAGTTCACTGGAAAGGAAGGTTTGAGCTAGTGTTGTTTGGACAATATTTCTTGTTATATCTTATACTTTAAATAGCTACTATGAAAACAAAGCTATGCGATGTATTCTATTGTTACTGCCCTCCTCACCTGTTTTGAAGCTGTTTTATTTTTATTTTTTTCTTTCTTTAAAATAAATTTATTAAAATAAAGTATAAAAAATTTTATATTTTATTTATTTTAAAATTTATTTTTGTATTTTACTTTTATTTTTTCTTTCCTTGTTTAAAATAAATTTATTAAAATAAATAAAGATATAAACATTTTTTAAATAAATTGTTTCTTTAAAATAAAATTTTAAAAAATAATGTATATTCTACAGCTGTTTGATATGCTTCTCTGTGAATATCCATTAAGCTCAGGATGTTCTTAATATTGTTTAAAGCTGTTATATCTTGTTGATTTTGTGTGTAGGGGTTTATGTAGTTCTATTAGTTATGGAGAAAGAAGGTGTTATGGGTTGAGAACTGGTGGTCAACTTAACGCCAGCTGGATTACATCAGCATGCATTGAGAAAAGATGCTCCACCTGAGGAGGGTTGCCAGGATAAATAGGTGGAAAAGAAGAGAGGTGTTGAGAGGGATTGAGGTGTTAAGGAGGCATTGTGGGTTCTCCCACGAGCTGCTGTCTGAGCTGCTGGTTCTGGAGAAGCTGTGGTCCTCACATTGAGCACTGCTTCCTGGCTCTGGAGGGGAACACATGTGCTGCTTGGTCTCCAGGATGAACTCGTCACGCTGCTTCCTGGCACATACCCAACTGTGCTTGTCGTTGGAGGAGCTCGGGGCCTCCGTGTCGCTGAGGATGGCTGTGGTGCCTTCAGGACAGCCCTGGTCTTTGTTGTGAGTGTGACTTCTCGGCTCCACCATAGAACCCTCACCCACAGCTCCTTCATCCTGCTGGCATAGACTTTCTGGCTTCCACTGCTGACTCTTGGGTCTTCCCGGCACGGATCCGTGAAAGCGACTGGCATGAGTCCTTCTTGTGGGCTCTGGACCTCCAGTTAGACTCATGTGAGGCACTGTCCTGAGCTCTGGGTTTTTATCTGGACTCATGTGGGACATTGCCGTGGGGTTTAGGCTCTTGACTAAATAATCTATGTCTTTGGTGTTGCGGAGAGATTTCCTGCATTTTCTTGTGTTAACTTCCGGTGACCATTATAAAAATATTATAAACTCCATGTCCTGACATGAATTGTTCTCCGTGTACAACCCCTGACTACAATAGAAATCATCTTAAAAACCTCCAGCTATAATTGTGTAGTTTTCTAGTTCCCTATTTGTCAGCTTTTTATTTATATATTTTGAATTATTATAAGATGCATATAATTTGGGGATTACAATGTCTTCTTGATGAATTGGTCCTCTTATGGTAAAATTATGCCTCTGTGTCCCTGGAAACGCTTTCTGTCTTGAAGTCTACCTTTATGACTTTGATATGCACGTGACTACTTTCTTGTATTTCCTGTTTTTATGTGTTTTATATTTTTCTGTTTTCAAATCTCTTGAATGTTTGTATCTCAGGTGCCTCTTTTGTAATCAAAGACACAGTGAAATTGCTTTCGTTTTCCATGATGGTAAGATATCTGTATATCCATATCTGTATCTCGTATGATGTACACACATGCTGCTTTGTGTGTACCCAGATGTGGTCATTTGTACTCTTCCTTTCCAGATTCACGTATCTGTCTCTTACCATTTCCTTTCTGCTGAAGAATTTCCCGTGACGTTTCTTGTAGGATGGCTCTGCTGCTTACTTTTTCTCCAGGTTTCATTTATGTTGTAGCAATTGTATCTCACCAAGGCACGTAAGAAGAGGCAACCTTACTAAATACTAGAATTGGGACTTGGTGCTTCCTCTTTCTCTCCTCCACTGACATTTAAAAGATGTTCATTGTCTTCTGGTTTTCCTAGTTTAATAAAATAGCAATCACCTGACACATGATTCTCTGTATGTAGAGTACCTTTTATTTCTCTGTCTGCATTTAGGGTTTTCAGGCTGTCTGCAGTGTTCAGCAGCCGGGCTTACGGTGTCTATTCTCCACTAGACTTGGGGAAACCGGGGGTATCGGTTCTTTGGATAGTTTTTCTCCCATTCCCCTCTCTTCCCTTTTTCTGTGTGTCTGTTATATGACTCGATTTTATTGCACGGGTACACTTATTTTTTCATCTTTTTTTCTTTGATCTTCGTGAAAGTGCCATATAATCTGTATCCCAGTTGCTCATTCTTTAGCAACCTTCTGCATGATGCCTTTCCTATCGGGTGAACCTCTCATCATGGCTGTTTACTGTTCCTTTCTGGAACTTTCCTCTATTTCTTTAAGGGCCTCAGCATGTCTGTAACAGCTACTCTGACCAGCAGTGGCGACCCTGCTTGCCTTCCGCACTGAGGCATTCTCAGCTCTGCTTCTGTTGACTGTTTTTGTCTCTATTGTGGTCATAGTTCCCCGATTATTTAAGAATGAGTTATATTTTCCAGCTTCTTCACACATCAGTATTTTTTCAGAACATGACGCCATGGATGACACAGTACAGACTGCGCCTGGCTTGTTCGGTTTTGTTTGGTGGCCAGCTGAGCTCCAAGCAGATCGTTTTCTGTGTTATCAGGCTTCAGGCCGGCGCTTGTTAGGAAGGTAGGAAATGCATTGTGTCTTCCACATTTGTTTTGTTTTTAACCTAGCTTCTTCGTTTCTAGGCGAGGCCTTTCCCCTCGGGCACGGGCCTTCCTCCTATGCATGGACATTCTGGGCTTGCAGGTGAATCTCTGAGATAATCAGAGTTCTTTCTCTGTTCTGACTTGGCTGCAACTCTGAGTTCTTCCAGCACTGACCATGCTGGTATCTTTGCAAAACTTTCAACTCCATGGTTCCTAGGGTCTTCTAGGACTGGGGGGTCTCTCCTTGGCCAGGGGGGCCCAATCCTCATGAGAGACCTCCTGGGGATCCCTGTACAGATTTCTGGGGATCACTGGGAAACATCTTTTGTTCTTTTACTGTCCTACAAATCCTAACCACTTCGGAAGCCTCGTTATCCTGTCTCTGGCATTTGCCCCCCCCCCCGGGTCCATGGAGCTTTTTTTGCTTGAAGGTCACCGTCCCCTCCTTGGAAGGTAGAAGCTTCCTCCAAGCAGAAAGCAGAGGTGAGCTTGGAGCTCACTTTCCATGACCCCCTCCTCTCATGGGCCTGTGCATTTCAACACTTGAAAATATTTCATATACTTTGTCTAGTTTTAGAGTTATTTTTAGCAGGGGGGCTGGTCTGGAGCTAGTGACCCCATCATGATGGACAAAAGTGTAAATCCTGACCAGTCAGTCTTATTATTTGATGCAAGAGCTTGAAAATTTGTCAAGTCAGTTCTACTTGCCTTTCTGTCTTGAATCCTTGGAATTTGTGTTTACGAGCGGTCTCTCGCTGGCACACACGTGAGCTGCTGGAGACGTGGCCGATTTGGTGCAAAGACATTCGGCTCAATCCTAAACTCAAATGCCAGCTCAGCCGCTTAAGATCTTCTGACTTTGGAACAATTAACTAAGCACCCTGAGTGTCAGCTTCCTCATCTAAAAATGGAGGCAGAAACACTACCAAAGTGGATGATGGGAAATGACATTTATGAAATTATGTCCCAGGAATTTTTAAAAGTGTTTCCCAACGTGTAGTTTCTTGGGAAATAAATGATCTCATTTGTAATGGGCAGGGGGTTACGGAGATTGAGAAGAGGACAAAAAGATTGTGGGACTCCTGCAAAGCCCGGCAGCTCCAGGGACTGGTCTTTGCCTCGGTGTTTTCATGCAGTTCAAGCTCAGTCCTCATTCTGGTGGTAAGCAATTGTCCCTGTGAACGCCAGGAAAGTCACAGATTTCCTCCGGGATGGCTGATTGCTATGGCTGACTCTGGGAAGCTGAAGGCTATTACATTTTCTGTTTTCTATAAGAATCTGTGGATCACAGCCTTACATCCATTAGAGGTTCTAAGGAATCTTCATGGACTGATTAAATGTCTGAAAGATTAAAAAATGAAAGCCATAACAAAGCCACTGAAAGTGGGATTTAGGCAGTGTGTCCTAGGCCAGTACCTTTTTGACCACGACTGTCAAATAAGCCTTAGACCTTGGTTATGTGTCATGATACATAATTCTCAGATCTCAGAGATTTGTATAACTGCTGTGGACCAGATATTTATTCCTCTGCCAAATTTATGCTGGAACTCTAATTTCTTTTTTTTTTTAATTTTATTTAAGGAGAAAAAAAAAGCAGAGAAAGGGTATAAGTTATACAGATTTACAGAAAAAAATAAACAGTAGGAAATCACTAGTTAATGGATTACATATTGTCATCTTAGAAATAATTGTTCAAGTCACAAAGTTAAAGCTTGTAAAGTGGACATTCCAACAGTGAGACTGCAAACAGTTCTGTTCAATGATCCAATAAAACTATTGGATTTTATTATGTACGATAAGCAAAAACTTTTAAAGACAAGGAGATTATACAGAAACCATTGTTCATTTTCTGTTAGTTGATTCTAAATACCCTGTAATGCTGTCATTCTCTTAAATGGTTTTACATTGTTTTGATATATTTAATGCTACAATATACAAAGTTGTACTCAAGGATTTCAAGGAAAGAGGCAATATGGTAACTACTTTTATGTCAGGATTATCTGGTGGTGAAACACTATTCTGCTTAAATGGTTATGTTTTGATCTGCGCAGTTTTGCTGTTATGCCCTCTTTTATCTCAATTTCCACTCCATTATTTACTTTTTTATTTTTATCCTTTTAATTAAGGGAAAAATAAATAAAAATAGCAGGATATATTATAGCAACCCACTTTGACTTTCCATTATCTTGATTTAAAGCCCTGTATTACTCTCACCATCTTGTTTTTGACTGATGTCCCCCTATTCTGCTTTGCTTGATAGTACCAGGTTCGAAAGTTTAGGCAACAGCTGTGAAGATAGTGAGATTCATTATGACGCCCATTCTCGTTGACTTTTAACTACTTTTGAAGACCTACAATGTCTCCAATGTTTTGGTTTTGTCGGTTTTGTTCTTTACTGTTTTGTTCAATTTTATTATAACTGATGATATAGGCAATTCTATTAGAGATAGTGGGAGGCATTATGGTAACCATTATTGATCACCTTGTATTATGCTTTTACAGGTTGGAACTCTAATTTCTAAGATGATGGTTTTAAAAAGGTATGGTATTTGGGGGTGATTAAAGGGTGCGAAGGCTGAGCCCACAGCAATACCACTGTTGCTTTTATAAAATAAACCCAGTGACGCCCTCTCCCTCTTCCACCACAGTGAGAAGACAGAGACTCGTGAACCAGAAGCCCCGCTCCAGACATAGAATCTGCAGGGCCTTCGGTCTGGACTTCCCAGTCTCCAGCAATGTGACAAATAGATGTTTGTTATGTGTAAGCCCCTCAGTTCGTGGCATTTCATTACAGCAGACCAGATGGAATACGAAAGGAAATGTGCGCTGACCGTAGGGGTGCGGTTGTAGCAAACACCTCAAAATGCGGGAGGAGGCATTAGGAACGGGGTGGCAGGCAGAAGCTAAAGAGTTCGAGGTGTGTGCTGGAAAAGCTCTACCTGGCTGTGGATGACCTTGAAAGGTGATTCTTGTGAGGGTCATGAAAAAAAATAAAAGATCTGCAGAGAAAGCCTCGCTCTTTTTAGAGTATTTGCACAAAACTTTAAACACACCGTTCTGTTTCTGAGACACAGTCTTGCTGTGCAGATTCTGTAATCTATAAGGAAATTGGGGAGCATGAGGATGAAATAAACACGTTTGGCATGGAGGAAGGACATAAATGTTGGGAATTTAGGGACAGAATGCTGCGCTCTGGATATCTTGGTCCTCCTCACACTCCTGTGTTGAAATCCTAACCCCCGAGGTGATACAGTGGTTGTAGAAGCTGATGGCTTTGGGAAGGATTAAATCACGAGGCCACAGCTCTGAGGAAAGAGACCCCAGAGAGTTCCCTGGCCCCTTTCAACCCCGTGAGGTTACTGCAAGAAGAGCACCACACACCAAATTTGCAGAGCCTTGCACTGTACTCCCAGCCTCCAGGACTGTGAGAAAAAAGTGTCTCCAGCTCACGTAGCACAGTCTACAGTGAGCAGCCCAGCAATCCAAAGGGACAAAGACAATTGCATGAGTTTGTTAGTCATTCTTTCAACAGATATGCATCAAATTCCAGGCAGGAGTCATGCTCACTGTAGTTGATTAGATGGAAGGTCACAAAAAAAGACATCCCTTTAATTGTCACTAAGACAGAGATGGGAAAGAGAACAAAGCGCTCTCTGCCAGCTCGTAAGGGCTTTTGCACACGTCATGGCCAGGCAAGAAACTCAGCTGCACATAACTTTAAAGCAGTAAGAGGCAGATTTTAGGGTACATGTGGGTGGGGCTGCGGAATGGAATGTTTATGAATGGATCTAACCACTGCGCTGCTTTTTATTTATTTTTTTATGAGCTTCACCAAACCAGCTCGTGCCATTTCAGGCATATTCTTGTTTGGCAACACCTAATACTCCCGTGTGCTTTGCCAAGAACCACCAGACTTCAGTTGGCCATTGGCCTCCTAGGTACGCGGTGTGTGCTCTATGCTTAAGATTCTCAGGATGAATTAAACACCATGGCACCCCAGCATATGCCCTACCCCACCTTCTCCCACTCAGATTTTACTTGTAAGGCATGAAGTTTCATTTTAGCCGATGTCAAAAGACGCAGCAAACCTAAAACTTTTAAACTTATGTCAGAAAATCAAGACTGCCTGTTTCCATTGGCTTCTCATTACTTTTGAAACTTTCTTAAATTAACAAATAATTATAATCCCTGTCATGGTTTATGTCTGTGGCCTCCAGGCCTCATGAGTTTGCATTGTGCATTTGTGATGGTTCATTGTCTAGTGCTTGGATTGATGGTGTCAGTGCTCCACCCACAAAGGGGTGGAGCCAGGATGTGATGTAATGGCAGGAAGAAGGCGTGTCTTGCTCTTTGCTGGTTCCTGCTTGCTGTTTGCAGCTGCCATGAACGGCGGCCCAGCCATGCCTGCCTGCCTTGGAGCCAACTGAGTGTGGACTGAAACCTCCAAAAACTGTAAGAAATAAACCTTTCCTTTCCCAACTTTGGGCTTCAGGTATTTTGTCTCAGCGACGAGTAAAAAGTAACTAAGACAATCCCAGATGAGCTTCGGTGCATTTATATATTCATCCAAGAGGTCTTTTATGTCACCAGTAATATTTACGAATTTTCTCACATGGCTCACGTGACAGAAGGGTCACATGAAGGTTAAATCTGCCAATACATGATATGTGTAATGGACTTACGCATATCCCAGGCAGCCTAATGAGCTCCAGATGCAAAGGTCTATCTAGGGTCCCAAAGCCAATGTCTTGGCTGTTCATAGCTGTTAGGTGATAGTACTTCAAACATCACAAAAGTCCCTGTCTTTCTAATCTTAGAGAGTACGTCAGCAAAACCTCTGTGTCCCCCTAAGTGTCCCCGTTCTTCATGTAGCCTTGAAAAACACTTCTGCAGTAGTCAGAGACCAACTACGGTGTCCTGGCTGGTCTTTCTTTGTTTCTAGCAACTAGAGAGGTCCTCATGGGTTTAGTGCCATCTTCCCGACCAAGCAAGTTCTCTTGCATCAGGAAATTAAGCTACAATTTATAACAGAAGGAGAGCTAAATACTTCTGGGCTGGATAAGAAGGCTTAAGCTTGCCTTTCCCTGCTCCCCTGTCTCAGTGCAGTAATGTGACATGCCAGTCATGGAAAGGAATGCTGGGGAGGGCACTGGCAGGTGGGCAGAGGAAGGGAAAGTGGTTAGAGACCTCAAGACTGGAGAACAAGCAGAGTGTCCACCCCTCACCAAACAATGGGGCGTTCAGTCCCAGCGTTGCCAAGCTTGTACCCTATAGTAGGCAGGTTCAGTCCCAGACTGGGTGAGGTCCATCTGATGGTTACACCAGGCCACCCTGAAGGCATTGTCCTTGTTACGGTAGTGACCAGAACCTACTCCTTCATTGCTGGGCATGAGACTCCTGCCCACCAGCCACTTTTGAAGGCCAGATCATCTTGGCAGAGATGTCACCAGGATATGTTCTCAGCTCAGAAGGACTGCTGGTCTTTGTAGACCCATAAACCCTGAGCCCCAGTGAAAGACACAGGGAGACTTGTTCACAATAATTGCCCAGCCAGGAAGTGACCTCCATCCCCAAGGCAAGGAATATTCTGCCAAAATATTGTACAAAACCCTTGTCCTACTTAGTGGCTCCCCAAGCCCAACCCCCAGAAATTTCTTGCATGTGCTCAGTAAGATGAGCTAAAGCAGCAGATCATAACACCATTGGATCTTGGAAAGATGCTATTATGAGAACCATAGTTGACAAAAGCTGACCAGACCAGTAGACTCCATCTGAACAGGGTCCCTGATCCTTAAAACAAAAGATTCGACTAGAATTTAGGGTGTTAGAACTGCCAGAATATCCCGGATGCAATCAGGATTTCCCATCACACGGGAACCTGGAAAAGCTCAACTTGAATGAGCAACTCCATTCAGTTGACCTCAAACTTTGCGATGAGGCAGGTGTCAGAATAATCTGACAAAGGTCTCAGAGCAGCACCATAGCGATGCTTCGATACGGGATAACAGGACATCACAGCACAGCCACAGAAGCTATCAAAAGGAACCAAATAAAATTACAGGATTAAAATGTCACAAATGCCTTGCTGAATGGGCTCAGTGCTAAAAACAGAGATTAAAAGTCGATGAACCGGAGGACAGCTCAACAGAATTTACTCCGTATGAAGAGCACAGATAAAAACAGGCTGAAAAGGGGGAACGAGCAGGACCTGAGACCCATGTGGCAGTAACTAAAGATGCAATGGCCACGTCAGGAATTCCCAGAGAAGGAGCATGAGCTGTCGTCTGAAGGAATAATGGCTGCGCAGTCTCCAAATTCAGCACAGATTTGAGAAGCTGAGGAAACTCAAACTATGATAAATGCGAAGAAATCCTTGCCAAGACACACCATAATTAAATTTGGAAATGAGAGGACGAAGTCTTGGACGCATCCAGAGAGAAGCAGCCCGAGAGCTCGGGGAGCCATCAATCTGAGCAGCAGTGGGGTTCTCATCCGGAACACGGAGGCCGGGGGGATGTGAGCCGCACTGAGCGAGCTCAGGAAGACAAGAGCTCTCTGCGGTGAGCCACACATGCACGCAAGTGTCCTTCAAGGGCCACAGCAAGGGGAAACTCAATCGCAATAAAGACATTCTCGGGCGGAGAAGAGCTTAAGTGAGTTTGTCATCAGCAATTCGGAGAAGCGCTTAAGTGAGTTTGTCATCAGCAATTCGACCTTACAAGAATGCCTGAAGACATTCTTTAAGCAGCAAATGGATGCTAAAGAAAGGGATTTTACAGCACGGGATTTTTAGAGCAACAGCAGGAGCAGAAATATGGGCACCTCCTGGAGAATATTCTTATGAGCTCCGTAAATGATATTCAGCGGTTGAAATAAAAGCTACAGCATCACGTGACATTTAAAAAATGATATTCAAAAGCAGAGAAAATAGAATGCTTTAATAGAAATAAGTCTTTAAGTGCTTAAGCAATAGAACGTCAAAAGCAGTCGATTGCAATAAGATCCACTAGTATTTTATGATGTCAGGAACATCTCTTCCTGTAGCATTAATGCTACAAGAGAGATGTTCTTGAAAGAAATCACACAAATCAAAATTAGATCATGCTGTTTAAGAAGCCCACTAGAAGACAAGGGAAGGGAAACAAAAAATAACAAAATGGCCAGCTTAAACTCTAGCCTTCCAATAATTGCCTTAAATATAAATAGTTACTATATGACAAATAGAAAGCACAGATTGGTAGGTGGATTTGAAAACACAACCCAACACACTTAGAATTCAATGACCAAGGTAGACTGAAAACATGGAAATGAAAACTTATGTACTCTACAAGCATTAGTTAGAAAAAAGCAGGCTATGTTAATATCAGGCAAAGTAGATTTTACAGCTCTGAAAATTACGAGGTGATGGAACACAGTATTCTGAGAAAAGGATCAACCTAGAGGGACAAAACAACTCTGTATCTACATGCACCAAATATTAGAGCCTCAGAATGCGTGAAGTTAACACCAAGAGACGTGACGGAAGAAATACAAAAATCAAAATCATAGTTAGGGACTGTGACATTCCTTGTTGCAATGAATTATGAGACAGAAACCCATGAGGACGTGGGGCTGAACAACACAATCCGACAGACACACGGCAAACGCTCCACACCAGCAGTGAGACGTATGCTTTTATTCCTGAGTGTTGCACACGTGGAAATTCACTGGCTAGATGCTGCTGTGGGCCATCAGATGCCCTCCACCTATTAAAGAGCACTGAAGTCTCATGAAGTAAGTTCTCTGATCAAGTGCAGTAGCCAGAAATCTGTAACAGAAAGAAAGCAAAAAGGAGACTCTCTAAAATGTTGGAAATTAAATAATCCATGGGTCAGGAGGAAAACCTCTAAGAAATTTCTTAAAAATTTGAAAAAGAATATGTAGAACTAAATGAAAACAAAAACACGCATCATAAAATGTGCAGGGCTCGAGGAAAGCGGTCCTGAGGGGTACATCTATAGCTCAAACACTTACATCAGGGGAAGGAAAATCTGAAGTCCAAGCTCTCAGTTCCAGAAGAAGAATCAAGAAAAGGACGGAAGGAAACCCATGACAGGCCGGAAGGAATGAAATAAGAAAGCACAGAAATCAGTGACACTGAACACAGAACAGTGAGGGAAAATCCATTAAACAAAAGCGGGGTTTAGAGGAAAAATCAAGGCGTAAACCTCACAAAGGAAAGAAGCCATAAAACACCCAAATCGGGAATGAAATACTGGGCATCCCTGCAGATTCTGCAACAGAAAAAAGACTAATAAGAGAATATTGTGAACAGCTTTAGTCCCGTACATGCCACAGTTGGAAGACTAAACCAGTTGGGTCAAAAACCACAAGGTGCCAGAATGCATTAAGTATGAAATATATAATTGGAATAGTTTTAGATTAATTAAAGAGAGTGACAAAGTTCTTAAAGCCTGTACAATTCAGGTCAGGGTGAGGGAGGAGTGGCATGGGCCAGCCTGGCCTCTCCATCTCTGACCCTGATCGTCAACTCTTTGAGCAGCCTCAGCGGCCTGGTGTGACCTGGGCATGTGTGCCTGGGGACAGAGCAAGGGTGAGCCCTTGCCAGCCGGAGCGAGAACAGGGCTATGTCCTCTAGTTAGTCGTTTTGAAATGTCTCAGGGTGGGTACTACTGACCCATTGGTAATGGAATGTGGTAATGTGGGACGACCAACTGGTAATCACTGCCTGTTTTGTGGATGTTTTAAGGATTTTCTTAGAACCTATAGATATTGGATTATTTTAATTATGTGTTTATAGTTGACTTACTTAAACGCCTAGGGAAATTTAACTTGTTAAGTGATGACTTTGTTGTGTGAACTCAATACTCAAAGGAGTTTATTTTTCAAAGAGTAGGTCACAAGGAACAAAGACCCTCAGATCCTCTCCCCAAACACCAGTGGCCCCATCGGTGGCTACCAGACTGTCTCCATCAAGACGACTGAGAGGGCAGCCATCCAGGGCAGCTGCCCACCCAGCTGCCCACCCCTGGCCAATGCTGGCATGGAGAGGGCTTCCAGGCTGTGCCTTCTCCGGGTTGGCAGTTTCCTGGTAAGGTGGTCACCAGAGAGACCCTGAGGCTGGCGTGGACAGAGAGGAGATGGCAGCATGCTCCTGCTATTGCTGACCCGGAGTCACAGTGAGACCACCTCCTGTGACTCCTGCCCCCCTCAGTGTGGTGGGACTCCAGGAGGAAGGGTCCCTGCTACTTCAGCAGGACACCTGTCACCACACTTGGGCAACAGAGGTGGACACGGATCCAGCTGTCCCTCCCACCTGTGGGCCCAGCCTGTTCCTAACATTCACCCTGGGGCCCGCTTGGGGACCATGGCCTCACCCAATTGGGACCATGCTAAACCCAATTGCTCCTGTACCTAGGCTGGGCACTTTCCAGGGACCTTGGCTTTCAGGAAGAAGAGCCCCGAAGGCTGTAGTGAGAAAAGCCAGACCTCTGAGAGGGAAGTGCACCTACCGGGGTTGG